TTTCAGGTGAGACAACCACTTGTGGGGTAGGTGGTATAGTTACCCCTTTCGGTGAACCTGCCCCAGGCGCACTGGTCTGTTGTAGGCCAACTAACTTGGCAACGATCTGATCAACCAAAGATTCTTGGTTCTTCATGATTGTATTCAGAGTACTCAAACTACTCTGGTTTATCTTATCTTCAAGTTCTTTTTGTAATTTTGCCATGTTCTCCTCGATTTGAGCGATTCTGGCCTCCATTTGTCTTTTCTTTTTCAAGCGGATGTTATGCGGATGATGTGTGTCCAACGCTTGAGGCGGTGTATCCAGTATTTATTCCTTCATTGAGACATTCTTCCGTTAGTTGATGCGAATGCAAAGAAAATGCAGAATATGTCTAAATGCATGATGCATGAAATATCCGAGGCATTGATCCAAAAAATGTGTCTGTTATTATGAATAATCCTTATTGAGGACAAAAGTGTTTTATCTATTAAGAGACAAAAATATTTTGACAGCTTCTGACATGTTGACTAGTCTTCTGCATTCGTCTGTCACTGGTTGAATAACCTGTTGAACCACTCCGGCTTCTCTGGATGAGTCGTGCCAATGTTGAGTTGCTTTTTGCACTGGCCCAAGAAGTCTTGAATGAATGCATCTCTAGCATCTATCTTTTGTTGAGCCTGTCCCCAACGAATGTGTCATTGGAGCCCTCGATTGATAGGAAATATGTGAAGTCATTAGTTTGTTTCTTAAAATTCGTCAGCAATGGTCTCCAATTCCAGCTATCGTTTTGCCATTGTTATCTTTGAAGGGACTCCTAAGATTAGTAACCTTCATCTTGCCCCTGCAACCTCTGGCAGTCAGTTTTTCCAAGATAGTATTTCATTGTACTTGATGCAGACCCGATTCATTCTGAGTCCTTTATAACGCAACAAAGTGATATACTCTTCAATTGTGGGCACCACGTCTTCAGGATTGAATATGACACATAGTCGCCTTGTAGACTGTCCTCTGCATTTTATCTCTTGTATTACAACCCCTTTGTCCATTAATGTGAATTATTTATGTTTAACAATCATATTTTTGGTGGATCAACACCTCTTTTGAATGATGCAAATGATGAAAACAAAACAAAAGAGAACAAAAATGAAAAAGGTTAGTGAGATGAAAATAATAATAAAAACAATCATGAAAATAAAAGACCTACCCCACATGACATCTACCCCGCATGCTTTATTATTCCTACCCGGACATGATCTCTATCCCACATGTTGATTTTGAACCAGTCCTAACCGCATAAATTTCTAGTTCACATGCTTTGAACAAAAAATAAAGCAGGAAATAATTCAGGCATCCTAGGGTTTGGAATGAGGTTTTGGGGTGTACTCTAACTCCTTGTAGTCTCCCGGTTTAGGTTCTAAAAAAAGGTACCCGAGTTATCCTTGCCGGTGCCCCCTTGGGCTTACCAGACCCTTAGTCTTAAACCCATCACAGGCTTGTGTGGACTAAGTTAAACTCGAGAGGAAACATTCCCTTATGCCCATACGGAGAATAAATTCACACGAAGACATAAGGTATATGAATCCCGAAGGTTACTTGCTAGGCCCATACGGAGAATAAATTCCCACGAAGGCGTCGCTTTCACCCCCACTTAAAAGGGTTCGGAGCTCGGGTATAGAGCCAGAGATGAATTTTTTCAAAAAACTGAAATCATTGAAAAAAACGTCAGTACAACTATTTACTTGAAAAATAATCAAAGGTAAATAAATGGAATCGAATAAATAAATTAAAATTTAAATTTACAATTTTCGCATAAAAAGACAACCGAAAATTAATTCTGGCCTGACTCACTTACCTGTCCCCAGCGGAGTCGCCAAGCTGTCGCAACCGTCTTTCGGTTGGGCCCCGGAATTGGGCTTCGACTTGAAATAATTGGGTTAGAGTCGCCACCGATCATTTTTAAAAAATATTTAGGCTGATCGGACACCATCTCACATGGTCTGCGTTTTACCAGAAATATGTCGGGTTCGGGAGTCGGTTACGGTCAAGGAAGGATTAGCACCCTTGAACCGCCCTTTCGGTACCAATTAATTTATCGGTTGTCTTAGTAGCGAAAATTTGAAATTTAAATTAAAATTTAAAATATTCGTTTCGAATTGCTTACCTTTGATCGGAAAAAAATTCCCTTAAAAAGTAAAAATGTTAGATAAGAAATATTAAATAAATATCAAATAAACCAAAGGAAAAAAAATTTAAAAGTAATAAAATGAATGAAAGAAAAAATAACCCATAATAAATGAAGGATCATATAGTGAATTTACCCAAGGTTCAAAAGCATGGGATTTTTGTTTAGTCTCACGCAAAAGACCAAAATAAATTGCTTTTCCATTCATTTGCCAGATATGTCAAACGTGGGCCCCTCTTTGGGTGTGTTTCATCATGTTGTCTCCTGCTTTATCTCATTCTTCTTCTGCCTTTTCATTTCCTTCCTCGTTTTCTCGATCATTTCCTTGATTTCTCGGAGAGCAACTTCCCTTGTAGCATCACGAACTTCGGGTTTCTCACTCCTCTTCTTCTGGACAACCTCTAAGGTGGCACCCACAACTGATCCGGAGTAAGGCTTCTTCGTGGCACGTCTCCTCTTCTTCACGACCTCTTGGGCAATGTCCTTCTTGTGTTGTTTCCTTTGTCTCTCGGTGATGGTTCTGTGTGGTTTCTCTCGTCTGGTTCTGTATGGTTTCTCTCGTCCGGTTCTGGTGATCTCCTCCTTTTAAATGGTGTTGATTACACATGTATTTATAGTTTAAAATTCCTATTTTTAGACTTCAGTTTTTGAGTCCTAATCGAATTGAACTTCTGTTGCTTGGTTGTGGATGAGTCTTAGGTACCCACGTTGTTGATGGAGTAACGTTTGCCGGAGGAATGAGAGAGGAAGACGTGAGGCGACGTGATACACATGGAGTCTTGGAGATGTGGCTGGACGTGTGGCTGGGTCTGTTGCACACTTGGCCTGCTGGATTTGGGTTTATCATTGGGCCTGTAAAAAAAGGAAAAATATGTAAATTATATATATTATATAATATATACATTATAGGGACGAAAATTAGTGTCTACACTAAGAAAGTAGATTGACTCGGAATGTGTTCAGTTGCTCCTCATGGTGTTACTAAAATTTGGATGTAAATGACACTGGCATGTGTTTGCTATAGATTAATTATTATTTTAATTTACAAATAATAATGTAAAAAAATACTTGGTTATAAAGTAGAACAGTCCCGACTATATGATATTATTTTATTAAGTCTTTCGACCGTTAAAAGTTACAAAATAGTTCTTAAACTATAAAGTGTTGTTTTGTTGAGTCCATGAATTATTAAAAGCTATAACTTTGTCATCTAATTAAAAGTTAAAACTTAATAAATTATTATTTTAATTTACAAATAATAATGTAAAAAAATACTTGGTTATAAAGTAGAACAGTCCCGACTATATGATATTATTTTATTAAGTCTTTCGACTGTTAAAAGTTACAAAATAGTTCTTAGACTATAGAGTGTTGTTTTGTTGAGTCCATGAATTATTAAAAGTTATAACTTTGTCACCTAATTATTCACCATGTTCTAAGCTCGGCTTTTTCTGTTAAAAAATGGACAATATTTTGAGCTGAACGTTAACCTATTGATTATGACATGATAAAATCTATTTAAGAGTTTCAAACGACTATCATATCTTAATCACCATGTTAACGTCCAACTTAAACAACTGTTAATTTTTTAACGGAAAATGACGAGTTTAGTCGAGTAATTATTTTGTAACTTTTAATAGTCGATGAACTTAACAAAATAATATTCTATCGTCGAAAAACTATTTTATAATTTTTAATAGTCGAATAACTTAATAAAGTAATACTGTATAGTTGATGGATCAATTGTGTACTTTACTCTACTTTATTATTATCTGAATAGTAAAACGAGCCGAAGGATCGGGCCGAATCTAATACAAAATCATTTGACATGATTAGCTATTTTCGTGATATTCGAAGAAGTCAAGGGGCCTTTATCGAAATAACCCACATAGTTAGCAATAATTACGCTGCTAAGCCCGAACCAAGTAATCAAACTCTTATGGCTTAATTGTAATTGTTGTACTTATGATAAATAATGTGTCAACAACATTTATTAAAGTTTTCATCAATTAATTTCATAATTATGTTATATTTAAGATCATGATGCTAGAGTTAAGATGATAAAAATTTTATAAGAAAATTCCATTACAATTTCACTAAAATATTTGCTAGTTTGATCTTTCATCATCCTAATAAACTATTATCCGTCTAAATTAGGAGTAAATTACTATCAATCTCTATAATTAATTATTTTGTATCCTTAAATATTAGGGTAAATTATACGTTTACTACCTGAACTATTAGTTTTGGTCTATTTTAGTTCCTAAATTTTTAAAATTTTCAAAATCATACCTAAAGTTTAGTTTTTGTTTCATTTTAGTATCCCGTTAAAAATTTAACATTAAATTTTAAAAAATTGAAAGTATAGGTACTAAAACGGACCAAAAATGATATTTTAGGTACTAAACGCTCTAATTTTTTAACGGCGGGTACTAAAATGAAATAAAAATTTAATGTTAGGTGTGGTTTTGAAAATATTGAAAGCTTAGGTACTAAAATGTATCATACTTGATAGTTCAGGTACTAAATGTATAGTTTACCCTAAATTTTATTTGATTCCTTTTATCTATTACACATGTCATCTTCTGATTAGACCATGCCAGTTTTTAACAAAAATACACATGTCAGCTTTTGATTAGACCATGCCAGTTTTTAACGAAAAAAATGGGAGAAACTAATGTGGTAGACTGAATGAAAATTGAGGGTTAAATTGAAAAAATAAAATATTAAAGGTATGAAATTATAACCACACTATAGTATGGGGGAACCCATGTATTAAGCCACCTCTTAAATTTCCAAGCTATACCTAATCTAAACAGTCCCAAAATCCTTCTTCCAATGGAAAATAAAACCCCAGCAATTTGTTTCATGCTACTCTAGCAGTAATCTCTGCTGTCCCCGTATATACGCTCACAACGTACAAACATACGGTACAAACCGTAGTCCTCCATGGCTCTTCCTCTTGGCAAGTTAACTATCCTTGTTGGTGCAGGTCCGCACAATCATCGCTCCTCTCCAATTTTTCCTTTTTTTAACTTACGAATCAGTTATTGTTGCGATTGTTTTGTTAGAGTTCGTGTTGTCGATTTTCGTTTGGTTTTGTAAAACTATATTTAGGGTTTTAGAAAAGTCCTGGATATTGACTAATGTTTAGTTTTTGGGATTTACGTTGTTCGGGACTTTGATTGGTCGTGGAACCCGCTGGGAATGTGTGCTAATTTTGTTGAAGTTTCAAAATTAATCGAAGCCGTTTAAGTCCAGGCGCGTTGCAAAGCTATAGCAATGTAGCTAACAATTTTGATATGCCTCTGCTTAAATTAGACATTGTTTGTTGTCTTTTAGGAATTGTTGGCTCAATTCTTGCAAAAGAAGGAGGCATTTCAAGTGTTTCTGATTTTGTATCTGGTGCTTTCAAGGTATTTTTCCACTTCTCTGAGCTGTGACTTAAAAATAAAGATATTTGTTTGTGTTCCTTAAAATATGTGAATTTGAGATGATGGTTTATTTTATTTCTTCCTTAATTTATAATTTTTTTCTCCTGCTGCAGATTGCTTACCGGCAACTTAAGAATGATGATTCTAATTCATCTGTAAAAAAGCCACGCAATGACTATTTGGTGGATCAGGTTTGTATTTGGTCTTCTAATGTCCTTTATGAGTGCTGAAGAATATAATGATTATCTACTAAATTGGCCATTGTTTGTGTTTCTGGTATTTGGAAGTATTTCTGCTTGTTTGATTTGTGTGGTTGAAAACTGAAATGGCAATTGGAAAATGATGAAAATTGTTTTCATGAAGTTCTCTCTTCTTTTTGTTTTTCTTTATGGGTGGACCCTTGACCAAATTTTTTTTGGTTGAGAAGATATTTGTGATCTCCAGGTATTGATGATTGCAAATAATAGTATCACCTCTTTTTAGAGATGACATTAGGTTGCAAATCCTTGAAAATCAATTTATTATGATATTTTAATTTGCAGATAGGGGGTGGCTGCATGCCAATTTTATTAGAGCATAAAATTTTATATTAATTTCAATAATGAAAATAAAATGTTAGCATCAGATCTGGAAAATTGGCAGATTCAAGTTTGTGTGCATTATTGATTATCCTTTGTATTTTCATGCTTTTGTTACTTTCTTGAGCAAAGTATTATTGATAATGTTAAGCAATCATGATGTGTTTTGTTATTAATTATGTGTGCATGATAACTCCCTAGTATCATGATACTTGCTTTAGTATAATTATATATCGTCTTTCTTGTTTCTGTTTACAGGTTAACAGCCTAAGGAAGGAACTGCAAATCTTGGCATCAAACAGACCAATTACAATTGTTACTGGGCGTGGCACAGGTTATTATTGTTACCATTTTTTGACAGTTTAAGGGGAAAATATTGTTGTGTATCTTGCACCGAATGAAACCATTCTAACTAGAAATTTTAACAATATTATTCCAAATTTTATTTTCCTGTCATTCTTTTATACAATATACACAACTATTTTGGATCCATAGTTCTGTACAAATGATCAAATAATGAGTATCCCTTCTCTTAATTAGCTGCTGACTCTTTTATATTTAGAACTGTTTTATTAGTTTTCTTAATTTTTTTCTGGAGGCATGATAACTTTCAATATAGATCAATTATATTCAACACTATCTAGTTCCTGAGCATTATTTTGGGGAATGTTTTTGTTTCATGCAGGTACCAGTAAATACGGCATAATTATTGTTGTTGTTGTGGTTGGATATGGCTATGTTTGGTGGAAGGTAATGAACTTTTATTCCCTTTTGAGTGTACTTATGTGTGTAGGTTGTTAGGGAGCAACCTAATAAGATGTTTGTGATAACTGATCTGGATAAAAATTTCTCACACATTTTGCTTTTTCTTATTGGCCAAGGTAGTTAGCTTTGCCAAGTTCAAGAAACCTGTTCTTTGCTTTCAGTTGGTTTGTTATATTTCATTTTATACACATATAGAGCTCATTGTTTTTCTCATTAATCCCTACCTTTTCTCCAATGTGTAATTTGTTTAGATTTAAGATCGATGAGAAATTGTTTTGCCACTTGGACATGGTATAGATCTTGCATCAAATTAAGTCTTTGAAATTTGAGCAGTTGGTGAGAATTTTATTAGGAGTGATGGATGACGGTCTCAGTAATTGAAGCTGATGGATTTATGGTTATATATAGTAGCACTGAAAATTTTCACCATAAGAGTGTAAAATGTGATCCAGAGAAAGTATTGGAAGAACTGCTTCGATAAACATTCAAATAGTAAATGGTTTGCGTAAAACATGCGTCTTTACTCTTGGCTATAAGTTTTATTCCTTGACTGGTTTCAGGGTTGGCGACTTCCTGATATGATGTTTGCAACGAGGCGTAGTTTATCTGATGCACGTGAAGCTATAGCCAAGCAGCTGGAGAGTGTTTACTCGTCCATCTCGGCAAGTGTTTCTTTTACTGGCATAACTTTCTCTCTTTTAAATTTGTTCATACCTGCCTACATCCATGAATGGTCATTCTATGAAGGTTTCAAGTACCAAATTACATGATTTTGGCATCCATATTTATGTCTGTTTTTCCTAGAAATTGACCAAACTCTCCTCTGACCCTCTTCCTTTTTAAAAAAAAAAATTCCTTGTTGCCTTATAGGTTACCAGACGGCATCTATCCTCAAGAATTGAGAGTGTGGATAATCGTCTGGATGAAATTGCCGATGTTACTGCTACTACACAAGAGGAGGTGAGATAGAAGATTGTAGTAGAAGCTTAAGTTTCATGTATCGGTCCCATTTGTTATTCACTGACAATTGATTGAGTTTTATAGGTTTCTCTGATACAAGACAAATCAAAGATGCTCAACACCAATGTTCAGTCTGTTCGCTACGTTGTTCAAACTCTGGTAAGCATGTTTGGTAATCTGAAGAATAGATTTTGTTGCATGTTAAAATTTTTAGATGTGAAACTAAACGTCCTTCTCTCTCCTTTTTGTTTGGGTTGATATGCAGGAAAGTAAGATTAAAAGAATAGAAGGGAAGCAGGTAATTCTTTCATTAAACAAAAATATAGAGTGCAATTTAAACAAAATTCGTGACTGTTCTTTGCTTTTATTAATGTGTAAATTTTCTTTCATCTTAGGATATGACAAACGAAGGGGTAAACTGGTTGTGCGATTATGCCCAGACTATGGAACAGAATAAACCCACTGATCATATCCAGGTTTGTTTATGTTATGCGTCTGATCTGCAATGAACTTATATGTTTTCCATTATATTTCTCTTCTTTCAGTGGTATCTATTTGTCAAGATTTTGTTATGTGAATGAATATATAGTGGTATGCTTGAGCTTGAAGCTAAACATATGAACAAATGATTATTGTTCTTTTGGATCACTGCCAATCACAATCACATTTCTACCGTTGTGTTTTTATATTCACTTATTTTAGACGTTGGCTTTCATGTTGGTTCCTATGCCTCGTGTTTCATCATCCTGAGTGTTATTTAACTCTTGCAGGCTTCCCCCACAAGCTCTTCCAGACTAGCTCTTGAAGCCCCAAAGAAAGCACCGTCTAGGGTCAGATTCTTTTTCTCTTTAATGCATGGTGTGATGAATGATTACTGCTCTGAAATTAAATAATGGAACTTAGAAGTTTGGTTCAAATTTGTTTTTGACCAAACATGGGTCAGTCAATATCAGGCTTGCGAATGAGAAATCAGATGTTGAAACTACCTGTTGTTTTTTTAACAAGTATTTTCTTTGTGTTTAAGCAGAGTGGATCTTTGCCTCCCATTGTACCAGTAGAATTGCCATCACCATCTCCATCTCCGGATTCCAATGGTACTCCCAAGGTTAGTTGACCTCACAGAATCCTGAATTATGAGAATTAAAAAAAAAAACAGAAAATTACTGAAGTAGTTCTGGAAAATGAAGGGGAAGTGTGGCAATGTTATAAGAAAAACCTTGTGGGATAGCGGATTTTTGGTTATCTCATATCTGGCATTTTATTTAATATTTACTCAACAATAAGACTCATATGTCATCAATTCTTACACTAGATTGTTGATGGTTTCTGTCATGTTTATCTCTGCATGCATTGAGAAATTTGGCTCCACTTATAAATCGGTCTTTGGAATCAATGTTGCTCTGACTTTTCATTAGACATGCATGTAAAGATTACTGTCCAAAAATCTTCCAAAAAATTTAGAAATAATGAATTTTCCTATATCTGACACTCACACTTCGAGATACATAGATTGGAATCAAATCATGGCATCAAGTCCAAACCAAATGGTTTTGTCTAAAACAAGTTTTCGTCCCTTTTAGTAAACCCTCCTCTCCCATTTGGTTTCTTGGCAGGTTAAGAGATCTCCAAGAAATGCATTCTACGGCTTTGGCCTTAAGGTTTCAACCCTATCTCTCTCTGTAACAAGTGGTCTCAATGTATCCTTTTTATGGTTTCAATGCTTACATTACATATCTGGTTTTCAGGAAGTAGGTGAATCAAGCAGCCGTGATGTCAGCAACTGTAACCGGGCTCCAGAAGATAATACCAATGTCTCCGCAAGTTCCGGTTTCTTCGGGACAATGTTTTCCGGTCGGACCAGTTCTTTTCCTATCATCGCAAGAACTCGCAGCGCAACTAATGCTGTGCCACAACAGATGGGAGGATAAAGCGGACAACAATAGTAAACATCGTATTTTCTGCTTGATTCGTATAGATGGCCATTCCAGGCCTCAAGACTCTTCAGTTCAGTTCCCTTCAAATGGACCGGGAAATTTTAAAATCCAAAATGACTCGTCCTTCCATTTGATAGCTCTACTAGAAGCTAAACTGCAGTGGGTGCTGAATTTTGCAGAGATGGTTCAAGTAAATTCTGAATTTTAGATTTCTTTCTTATTTTATTTAGATCATAGGTTAAAGATTTGATGGATCATACACTTTCACCGATTAATAGCTAAAAATTAAGTAAAATAAAATATCTCATCCTATGTGGTATGGAATCAAGTCTAGACATACCAATACGTAATATATTTCAGTTTAGATTTTATTCTTGTCTAATTTTATTTCGTTGGATATAATTATGATTGTATTTGTAACTTCAAGAAAAGGGCCATTGTTATATAAAAGCTTTAGTATCAAATGGACGTGCGTTTGGTTCATGGAATGCGAGATTATAATTGAAAGGTAAGATTATTGATTATGTTTGTTTAATTGGGTTGGAATGTAAAATTATGATGTTTAGTTGAATGCAGAAAAGAAAACGAGAAAAGGATTCGAGTAAATGTTAAATTGTATTCCTCAAAATTCAAGGTTTGAACGAGGCCGGCAAATGCTTCGATTTATAGTTGAAATCTAATGCTTTCAATTAATTATATCGACGGTTAAAATTAAAGCACATTTTACGTAGTCTTCTTATTTGAAGAAATTACATCATATATGAGAGAAAAAATCAGAGGCAATATATATTACTAAATTACCGTTGTTACATAATGTAAAATTATCGAGATCTTAATTTTATTTGGGAAAATTTACTACAGATTAAATTAATAAAAAAAGTGTAAAAATTTCAAATTACGGGGTGTTATGAAATAATATAAAATTAAGTATCTAAACAATACTCAAAGGTAATTTTTGGTGCCTAAAGATTTTTTCGCTAAAAATAGGTTCTTAAAATTAGGGGTGTATAAATCCGGATATTCAGGTCTTCGGGTATTTGATTTTCCGGCCTGTGTCCCGACCCAGATATTGCAGGTACATGTAATTCGGGTAATCAAGTACCCGGTTTTTTATCATTTTCAAATTATTATTTTTTTAAAAATAAAACTTATATAATATATAAAATTATTAATAATTAAATATGTAATATTATAATATATATAAAAAAAATAAATGTACACGAGTATTCAAGTAACTGGGTACCCGAAAAAATGTAACTTTGTGACCCGAGCCTGACCCGAAAAATGTCGGATCGGGTATTTTCTGACCTATCCTAAATTAAAAATTCATATCTTTTTGTATATTCTTCGAAATCGGTATCCGTTTATTTTAAACGAAATTAGACTGATATATGAATCCAACGGTACAGAGATCATGCTCTAATCATTTCTTTATAATTTATCATGATTTTCTAAACTTACTATTTGAATAATAATTTTTAGGCAGTTTTCCTTAATTAGTATCCTTAGCTTATTCCATAATTCTATTAGCTTACCAAACGAACATATATGCATGAATCACAAATCACATATTATTTATGAGTCACTTCTTACCTTAGTAACTTTGTCACTAGCTCATCGCAAACCAATGTTCGTTCAATAAATTAAATATAAATTAAATATGCACTCAGCTTTGTCTCGCTATCGAATCTTCTCTACGATAATCTTCTCAATACATCACTTTTCCTTCCCTTTCAAATTACTTGAATCACTAGATTTATCCTTGTCTGACGCCGCCATAAAATAACATAAAATATTCAAACTATATGTTAGTATCGAAGTAACATAATATAAGCTTAAATATAAAATTCGATAGAAATAAAATTGATGCTTAAATCGATATAAAACTAACTTATATTTTCCATCAAAATTTCAAACTTCTCAAAAATGCTCAATTCGATTCCATAAATATTTATTTCCTTCATCAACTCTTCAACTTTTGCCAATTGCACAATCAAGCCACTAATTATGAATTCTTTCTAGAATTCACCTTAACTTTTTCATTCGATTCATAATGATCCTTCACCATTATGATCATTGCACATTAATTACTAAATTTTCCAGGACCTTAAATATATACTCAATTCAATACTTTAACCTTCAAAAACTTTCAATTTCATCATCTATTTCCTTAGACTTTCAAAATCAACCACCCACTTTAATAAATGAATTTATTAATGTGAAATTATCATTTTACCCTTAATGAAACATGATAATTTCAACTTGCCATTGGAATATCTTCCATTTTAATATTCCAAAGTCAAAGATGAACAAATAAAAATCCACTTTCTGCCTTTGCCCTTGCAATTTTTGAAAATTACAATTTAGTCACTAAAATTCACAATTTTGGAATAACATGGAAAATCATCATTAATTCCACTGATCCATGTTAAATTTCACTTTTCTAAATTATGGAAATAATATTTCCAACCTTTATCAAGCATCCTTCAAATTTTCGTGAAATTTTGGTTCGATCCGATTATTCGATTTCTTTATCGCTTTATAGCTTTTAACACAAATCTCGTACCGAAAATCTGATGACCATGAAAATTCTTCTTTTAGGCCAAACTATTCATTTACGGGCTAAAATATATAACTTTTCAAAATTATATATTTGGTCCTTGAACTTTTATAAAGTTTATACTTTAGCTACTAAACTTTCAAAACTTATATTTTAGTCACTAACCAAAATTTGGGGTATTACAATTCCTTCCCCTTAAATAAAATTCTCCCTCAAAATTTTCATGGATATCTACATATCTGAAGTAAAAAGATGAGGAAATTGTATTTTCATATCCTATTCTTGTTCCCAGGTTGCTTCCTCAACTTTATGGTTTCACCGTAGAACTTTTACGAATGGGATCGTCTTATTTCTTAGTTCTTTGACTCCATGTGCTAGAATCTTTACATGTTGCTCTTCATAAGATAAATCCGGTTGGATCTTAATTTCCTTCGGTGCAATGACATGCGAAAGAACTAATCAATACTTCAGAAGTATCGATACATGAAACACATTATAAATCTTATCCATTTTCGGAGGTAATGCTAACTAGTAAACTACCGGTCCAACTGTCTTTATAATCTCATACGGTCAATGAACCTCGAACTTAACTTTCCTTTATGCTTAAATCTCAGAACTTTTTCTAAGATGAAACTTTAAGAAATACTTTATCACTTCCTTGATATTCAATCTTTTTTTGTATACTTTTTTACTTTTTCTTTGAAGGTCTTTAATCTAGTCTGACAATGCAAGTCTCAAACTTAACTTTGCAACAAGCGCACCATCATTCTTCATTGAATCAATCATCTAAAGCTTTCAAAGCAGAGAAGATATTTCGACTAAGTGTGTCAGCTACTACATTAGCCTCTTCAAGATGATAATCATTAATCACATCAAAATATTTTAAAAACTCATTCCATCTCCTTTTCTTTAGATTCAATTCCTTTTGAGTTAGCAGATATTTTAAACTTTTATAACTTGTATAAATATAATACCGCTCATCATAATTAGCAGTGCCAACTTTTTAAAGTAAAAATTACAATTGCTAACTCCAAATTATGGGTAGGATAATTTTGTTCATGCATCTTTAATTATCTTGAAGAATAGGCTATCACTCTATCTTCAATATATTAATACGCATCCCAATCCATTATAAGACACATCACTGTAAATTACAGAATATTTACTTGATTCTAATTGCACTAAAACCGACATTTCCATCATAATCTTCTTAAACATATCGAAACTTTCTTGACACTTTTCAGTCCAAACGATAACACATCATTTCTAAACATCTTAACAAGTGGAGAAGCAATTATAAAAAAAATTCACGTATCTCCGATAGGAACCAATGAATCCCAAGAAATTTTGAACATCTTTAAAAATTTCCATTCTACTATAATTTGTACTTTCTTGGAATCTACTTTATTTCTTTCTACTATAATCACATGGACAAGACAAATAATTTACAGTCACCAGAATTCACATAATGACAACTTGGCATATAACTTTTCATTTCGCAGTGTCTAAAATATAATGCGAAATTGGGTGTCGTGTTCTTCTTCAGTCTTAGAATAAACTCAAAACATCATCAATAAACACGACCTCTAATTCATCAAATCTATGAATATTGTAGGGCCATTAGTCATTCCAATTAACATCATTATAAACTCATAATGACTATATCAGGCTTCAGAACATCTTTCTCTTTAATCACCAACTAAATATGCCCAAACCGAAGATCAATCTTCGAAATCACTAAAGTACCTTTAAGTTGATCAAATAGATCATCAATCCTTAGAAAAGAGTATTCATTCTTTACCCGTACTTTATTTAGCTAAGGGTAATCCCTATATAATTGTATCAATATTTCTTTTTAACTAAGAATACTGGTGTACCCCACGAAAACACACTCGGTCTAATAAAACTCCAATCAAGTAACTCATGTAATTGTACCTTTAATTCTCTGAGTTCGGTTGGAACCATTCAGTACGAGGTCATTGAGATAGGTATTATACCCGAAAAATATCAATCTTAAGCTCCACTTCTCGATCAGGAGGTTATCCAGGTAACTTATTAAGAAATACATCTGAAAACTCCCAAACTATCGAAATATCTTCCAATCTAACTTCAGATATTCAGTTGTCAATTACCTTTACCTGAAAAGTTGAACAGACTTTTAACGTCAATTTCGTTGCCAATACTGCAAATATCACATTAGGTGATAATTTCACCTTTTTCTCCGATTTCTTTTATTTTGGAATTCTTCACATTTTTCATAAATAATCGCTTCCTACGAAAATCTACCCCAACCATGATGCGAAGATAAACAATTATTTATTAAAACAACTTATTAATGCATTTCACTATTAACGATAAATTGCCACTTTATTACTTACTGTTATTCTTTATACTCTTTCTCACTTCTGTAATCCTACTTTAGTTACTATAATCTTGAAACGTTTAAAAAAATAGATTAACAACTACTCTCATTCAAACTCATTTTAAAATCTTTTCGAAGGATAACATAATTATCATCTGGATCATTAAGAACTTAGGTTTCTTAACATTTTTCGGTCCATAACAATGAAATATCCTTTCTCAATAACTCGATAAGTGAAAAAGCAAGCATCGAGAAATTCTTCAAGAATTTCCAATAATAGCCAACTACAAGAAACTTCGAACTTCAGAAATATTTTTCGGAGTTTTTCGTTCCATATAACTTTTACTTTCTTGGAATCAAATTTGATTACTTCTGCCAATATCATAGAGTCAAAGAAAACAACTTTCGATAACTAGAATTCATACTTTGACATAAAACTTTTTAGTATTATCAACTTTTTTACCCTTATCCTTAGTTTCCGACATCTAACACATACATTTCAAAAATTATGTTAATAAGGAGTAGGATCACAAATAAAATCATCAAACCATACCAGATTAGTAATTTTGACATCCTAGTGGCATGCACATATTTCTAACATAATATATGCTCGTTTAGACCGAGAATCGACTAAACCTGTAGCTCTAATACCAATAAATATAACACCTACAACCCGTATACGTCTCGAAATACAAGTTAAAGATGTTTCATCAAGATTACAAACATTCACTTATCATAAATGCTTAAAATTTGTTTCATTTTAAAACATTTCGTTATCAACTTTAAAACAATTTCATTAATTGTGTATAATCATAAAATAACAAAATTTAAAAGTTCAAAACGAATAAAATTTTAAGCGTTTATGATCAGTGAATGTTTGTAATGTTGATGTAACATCTTTAACTCATATTTCGAGACGTATACTGGTTATGGGTGCTTTATTGAGTCATTTAACTATTACAAGTTATAAAATGATCCCTTGATTATAGAGAGTTGCTTTATTAGGAATTGATGGGAAGAAAGAATATGCAAACAATTATAGTCAAAAGACCAAATTGAGTAAAATAAAAATTTAAGGGATTGAATTAAAGAGAGAGTATATTTTTAGTAAAAAAGTAAGAATCGAAGTTACATAGGTATTCTTGTGGTGTATAGAGGAGTCAAGAAATTGGTGGAAAGAAAGAATCTGTAAACAATTATAGTCAAGAGATCATATTGAGTAAAATACAAAGTTAAGGGACTAAATAAAAAGAGAGACTACATTTTTAGTAAAAAATTAAGAATTGAAGTTACATAGGTATTTTATTGTGTTATATGAGCATATGGTTCAAATTGGTAAGAAATACTTAAAATAAAGAATGAATTGAAGAAATAAAGAAAATATAAAAAATAAGGGACTAAATTGAAAAATAGAAAATTTGTTTTCAAAAATAGGAATTGAAAGTGCATATGTATTCTAAGATGGTTTAGGAGCATGTGGTTCAAATTTGGTAAAACGTGGACTTAAAATGAATGAGAAATTGAATGAATAATGAAACCGGGGGACTAAATCGCAAAACTGTCAAAATACTTAGTCAAATTTTTGGTTTTTCGAAGTAAATCGAAATTTCAATTCGACTCAAACTTGAAAACCGAATTGACTCGAATAACTCAAAATTGAAAAAAATTGATTTTTCATGTCGAGCCGAATTTTGCTCACCCTTAATCTCAATCAGCAAGTTAACGTACAAATTAAATTGCCATCAAATTTTAAGGAAAAAAACATGAGTTTCGAACATAATGAAAGTCAGGTGACCATTTTGTAACTTTTAATAGTCAAGGAACTCGACAAAACAACTCCTTATAGTTGAAGGACCATTTTGTAACTTTTAAAAGTCATGGGTCTTAATAAAACAATATCCTATAGTTATAGGATCATTTATTTATTTTATCCTAAAAAATTTCAATTAAATATTTAATGTTGACCAAATAGACTTATGAATTTTCTATGAAATTCAATGGAATATTGTATGAAGTTGAATGCTTACCCTTGGAAAATAGAACAACTAACTTGTGTTAGAAGTTTGCAACAAATCATGGTCCAAGAAAGAAGAGAGAAGGGCCGAATCTTACAAGGAAGTAGAGAGGGCAAGTACTGGTCAGGCAGCAGCAGACAATATATTGGAACACGGTTCACAGCTCCATTGACGTTGAAATTATTTTATAGACCTGATTCCTCAGGTCGTCTATGATCCCAGCCTTTATTAATTTTAAAATAATTTTCAAATAATTGTTCACTCTTTATTTACACGTAAAAAAAAATGTTAAGATTAACCTTGAAAAAAAATAAGATCAAAAAATGTTATTTGGTGAGATCATAAGTGATGTGGTGAGCCAGATCTATCTCATGATTTTTCGATCTGATTCTATCAGTATAATCTTATGCATATGCTTCACGAAAAATTATTAGATAGATCTGGCTCATCATGTCATTCGTGGTCCTATCTAATAAGGCCCATCCACCTCATTTTTTTCTAAGATAAATCTTCACTTTTTTCCTACATATAAAAAAAAATGAGTGGGTAATTATTTACAAATTAACTTGAGATGGATGAACCTTATTGCTTGAGACCACAGATGACGTGATGAGCCGTATCCATCTAATAATTTTTTGTGTTTCACGGACCGAAAGGCAGTAGTAGGGATGACTCGAAAATTTTACACCCTCCACCCGACTCGACCCAACCCGACCCGTAATAATAAAAAATATTTTATTTAATAAAAATAAGATTTAATTGAAAAAATTAATATATAGAGGGCTATTATTGTAATTATCTCTAAATATATAAGAAAAAATATATTTATTTAAGTCGAATCGGGTCGAATATTTTTCACCCTAAACCCGAACTCAACCTAACTCGTACATTACGTTTAAAAAATTCCACTCGACCCGAATCCAAAAATTTAAAAAAAAAAACTCCAATCCACGTGTCGATCCCTATGAAGTAGTTTCTATGACGGTCCAAAAAGCAAAACCAAGTCTTGGTCAAGATCTCTTTTTACATTACTTTTCTTAGGGGTTTTTTAAGCATAAATTCCATTTGGAAGCTTCATTGCATTGGATCATCGAAAGCCTCTAACACTATCTATATGCAAAAAAAATATTCCATGAACTAATCATATATAAAGAGTAGAGGCCGTCGTTATTAACAACAACCCACCCCAACCCAAAAAACACCATCCTTTCTATCATCTTCTTCTTGGAGCTCAAGCTCTTTGCTTGGACAATACTTCAATGGAGACCACTCAGAAGAAGAAAGGCCTCTTCAAAAGCAAACTACCCAACCCATTCTCTCGACCCCTCACTAAGCTCTCGCCCTCCACAATCTCCAACACCGACCAGTACAACATGGCAAAGGTCAACTATCCGACGATTCCCATGGTGTCCAAGCAACCGACCGGTTTCAAGCAACACGAGGCCGAGTCTTACTTTAATAAGTCGCCTAGCTTCTACGATCACAAAGGCTATGCCGATGAAACATGGGGTCGCGGTGACCAAAACGTGGATTCAATGGCCGCCACCTTTATTTCCAATGTCAGACGACGGCGTTTTGAGCTCGATGAGGCCCACAACTGAGTCATCTTCGCCATGGCTGAGTTTCAGAGACTAGTATTTTGGCTATATATATATAACAGAGATTAGTGCTTCTAGTGATGAAATTTTATCCATCGTGAATTATATTTCTTCCATATCTGTAAAGCCTACTATGGGATTATTATGATATGCAAGTATTATACTTTTATATTAATTTTGAATCTTATTATATATCAATAGTCCTATTGTTATATATATATATATTGTTACAAAGGGAAAAGGAAGGAAAGACTAGCTCACAGTTAAACCTCTAAGGAAGGAAACTCCTCTATAATCAGCATCCAAAAAGGTTGAGACTTCACTCGGCGGATACTCGAAAATGACCGGCCCCTCGTCCAAAGGACAGCCCATTTTTGAGAGGATATCGGTTATCAGCACAGAAGTCTCTGCAGCGGTAGGTATGTTGAAAAGTAAGGTTCTAATTATGCGACTTAAAGCTACGAATGTCCTCTATAATTACTCCCAGAGGATGTAAGGTGCCATCTCCATGTTCTATTAATTGTAGAACCACTCGAGCATTCATTTCACATTCAATGGTCCTATATCCATGCTCCCACGTAATTGACAACCCGATCCTTATCGCGTGAAGCTCAGCGGCCACACCAGTGCAAATACCCAAATGAGCAGTAAATCCCAACATCCAAATACCCAAACAAGCTCCATCAGTGTTCAACTTCAAGCTTCCCGTTTTTGGGGCACTCATATTATATTAAGGGAGTGTTTGGTTCACGAAATGTAGAATTATCAGTGGAAATAAAAGATTATCAAGGAATAAGATTACGGTGAATGTTGTATTTTGTGTTTGGTTTGTTTATCAGGAATGCAAGATTACCGTGTTTGGTTAAAGGAATAAAAGATTATTAGAATGTATATTTGACTAAATTGTCGTTATTATATATTTGTTTTTTTAACAAGTTGAAAAATATTTATATATTTTCTTTAAAAAATTTAAATTCATAAAATTTATATATTTTTTTTTACAAAATTGAAAATACAAAAAGGTTTAATGAAAGGATAAAATTTTATTTTAACCCCTAAACTTCATATAAAATTTTAATTATAGATTTTTTTGTAAATCTAAAATAGTTTAAGGATAAATTTGTAATTTAACCTTCGTAGAATTTTTATTATTCAAATATAGAAGAATGATATTTTTGAAGAAAAAAAAATTAAGGGCATTTTAGTCCAAAACGCTAGTAATCTAACAATACCTAAGGAAAGGGATGTAATGACATTCCCGGTAATATACCCCAAAAAATTTACTATTAGTAATGTAAGATTATCGAGAATGACATTCCCCGGCCAACCAAACGGGGGAATGTGAATTTCATTCTCATGGGAATCTCACATTCCCCCAACCAAACACACTCTAAGGTGACAGTTCGGCCTCCGAGCTGGTCTAGCGTTAGCCAATCAAGTCTTATTGTTATATTAATTGACATTAGTACTCACTTTTTCGTAAGCTCAACCCCTATCCCTCCCTTAACAAAAAGAAAATCATACTATATATTCAAATAATTATTCAACAACCACAATTTTTTATATAATTTTTTAGCAAGCTTGTGCTTTTAAATTTTCGTACCATTTAAAAACTTACGATTCATTTAGCATTAAAATTTCATGTATTTGTATCTAAAGTAATTTTGAATGTTGTGCAACGGCCTGCTAATTATGTTTTCATTTTTTTTTGCCCGTAAACGGGTAAATTATTTGGGAAAATAGAGCAAGTAGAAGATTATTTTGGGATCTACGGTATTTTTTACAGTGTTCATTGAACTCGTCACGTCGATGTGATATGTTCTTATAAATAATATTTTTTATTTAAACTCGTTACGTTGAGGTGACGAGTTTCAACAAAATATATTTTTTTATTAAATTTTATCACATCGAGATAAAAAGTTTAAATAAAAAGCATCTTTTAGTATAACTCATCACCTCGACGTGATGATCTCCCAAGTCACTGTAACAAATGTCGTAGATCCCTAAATAAACTTCTACAAGCCCTATTGAGCTAATTAATTGAAATGTTTGTCCTATTGGGCCAAAAAAACCCTATGTTTCCATGTCAAAAGGGGCCAGGACCTTAAGTTTATAAAATGAATAATTAGAAAATATTAAAATTTGTTGCCCAAAATCATTTAATAAATTAGTATAAGCCAAGTGATAAAATATATAAATATAAATATATTAATTCGTATTTGAAACATAAACTCTATTTTTTTTAAATATTTCATTTAAAGCAATGAAGTATGCATAAACATTAGTCATCGAACATTGCTTAAGGTTTCACCAAATCACATGTTTTTCGGACCAAATTAGTACCATATTGTTTAACCTTAAATAGATATGTTTAAGATTGAACAAATTGAGCCTCTCTTCCATCTTTGTTTAACCTTAAATAGTTACGAAGTGAAACGTTAATCACTTACTTTAACAAAGAAAAAATTAAGCTCCTAAAGCAAAAAGAATATATAATTTGGACACTCTTGTTTTTCAAATAAGCATTATATTTACAATAATTTACTTAACTAATGATATTATATGAAAGATTTCAATCTTTATATATAAGTCCATCAATCTCGTGTTTGGTTATTAAATGGTGAGTTTTAATTGTTTTATTTAAAGATTATATAAATAATATAAAAAGATAAAATATTTAACAATTGTCCTAACCTATAATTATTTAATTATTTTGATCAATAAACTTTTAAAAATTATAAATGACCAATTTATTAAAATATTATAAAATCGTTATATGTCACTAATAGATGACGTGACATGTTAATTTAATTATCAATATCTCACTTGGTCACTCAATAGTTACTAAAATTTTATTTTTGTACTTTGTCAATATTTATAAGTAATAAATTAACTCCGACTAACCTACATCGTAAATTTAATTTTAATGGGTAAATCTCCGAATAAAGATTTTATACGTGTAAGAGGTATAATTTGGACTAGAAATGTAGGTTTATTGATGGCAAACAACGTGAATTACGCAAATGAGAAAAAGGGAGTGTGAATGTGGTCTTTACTTGGTGGGTTTTCCATGTGCGGTAGTTGAGAAAATTTGTCCAAAAAGTAAAGCATTATTGATGATAAAGTTGAATAAATTAACCCACTTTCATGCTTTTATACCCATCAATGATGTTCAATGCCACGTTTTTGGGACCCCAAACCCTAAACCATTCAATTCAAATCCCATATATATATATATATATATCGACCCGCTAGTAGTGGCGGATGCACTAAGCTCCCATAGGGGTCAAGTGCATCTCCATTATTTTAGAAATGTGGTTAAATTTAATTTAACGTGTTAAGGGAAAACATTACAATTTTTTCATACCCATTATTTTTAAGAAAATAAAATTATTTGGACCTCCATTCTAAAATTTCTGGATCCTTCACTTCCCGCTAGCACATCTCCTATAAGTTTCAAAGTTTTTGTGAAATCTAATGTCAAGTTTCATGACACTTAGCACTCTTCAATCCCCTAATCTGGAGACTGTGAGCATCCAATTATATGTGATTTTCGTAAACATAAAGTATCCAAAAATGGAATAAGGTCCACGTGTCATAATGGTTGACGTTGACCTTGCTCGCCTTTAAACGGCAGTGAAATCTGACATTTGATATTGCAATTTGAAGATGACTTTTATGAGGTAAATTGCATCAAATATCCTCCATGTTGGGCCAAATTGTATATTTTTGTTGATTTTTTTTAATATTTCAATCATATCCTCAAAGAAAAGTATTCCTTCGTTCTATTCTTTCTATCGATTTAATTATTGGGTTTTTTAACAATTCCTATCTAGGAGGGAGAAAAGAGTAATCTCTTGCTTCTAATGGATATTAAACCCACAACCTACAAGGAGAAACGAAGTGTCAACTGATAGCTTTTAACCACCTACTCTGAAGATTGTTGATCATGTTAAATGTTAAGTTAGATACGATATAATTAAAATTTTATATTAATCAATATGGTCGTTATCTCTAGAGGTTTCTGGTTCGAGCACCAACGACTATAAGATGTTTGAGTATTCATTGTCATATGATTGAGAATCTTTAGAACATATATTACCGCTTATAATCACCCTAGATTAATTAAAAAAAACTGACAAAATCAAAACTAACATTTAATGTTAAAAACAACATCTTTTAATCTTTAATATGCATCTTAGATACAAATTAATGAAATAAAAAAAATTTACCATCAGCTATTGGATTTGAATGGGATCTTTACTGATTGCTCCCCATGGCGTCAGCCTCGCAGCATTGATTTCGATGGTTCAGATTTCAGAATTTCGATGTAATTGAACGTCAACAAAGTTTATTTATTTATTTTGTTTTCGGGTAAACTATGCATTCAGCATCTAAACTATCAAGTTTAGTATATTTTAGTACCAAAACTTTCATGTTTTTCAAAACCGTACTTAAAGTTTAGTTTTTGTCTTATTTTAGTATTCTGACGGACATCCGTTAAGAACTTTAATTTTTATTTCATTTTAGTATCTCGTTCAAAATTTAACGTTGAGTTTTGAAAAAAAGAAAGTTTAGGTATTAGAACGGGCCAAAACTGATAGTTTATGTACTAAACACTAAAATGAAATGAAAACTAAACATTAGACATCGTTTTTTTTAAAAAATTGAAAGTTAATGTACTAAAAAAGATAAAATTTGATAGTTTAAATATTAAATATGTGGTTTACTCTATATTTTTCTCGATAAACCATAATTTATTTATTAAATCATAAAATTTCTAAACATGACTTGTAAAGTACGTTAAAACTTTCTAATCTTAATAGGGAGGAAAAGGTACGCACTAATATAAAAATATAGTCGTCTTTTATGCGAAAGCATGACCCCTACAAGGTAGAAACCTTATTTCCTTACCACCAACTCCCTTTAGATAGAATAATTTATTTTACTTTTTACCTAATAAACTAACGATTAATGATAAAATTAACCTGATTTATTTGACTCAAAATTTAACCTTGTTTTTAGTATAAAAATTCACTCCGACTCAAAAAAATTGACCTGGTGCAATTGGTCGGATAAGATATATATATCATTTTTTGTTAAGTAAAATAGAGATCTAATTAAAAAAAATAAAAGAGTATTATTTTCGGATCGATAAGATATATTTCACTCTAAATTTGAATCCAATAGGATATTTTTAAAAAATCCGACCCAAACTTAAATTTTCAATAAAAAAATTGGCATTATCTAATCGAATAGAAACTTATCATATTCAAATAAAAAATTAATTTTTATATATTTTGCATAAAATAAAAACACGTGTAACTAATATGATGCGTCTTTATCATAAGATAAGAATATAAATAATACAACATCCATGCAAAAGCAATAGATTCCTGGGTTTTCGCTAAACCAATTATACATAACAATAAATAACCTTAAAATCCACAATACCATGGTAGAGAATTAACAAAGAAGGCTTGAAAAGAAAAAACGTGGGAATCGTCGAGAAAATCAAGACATCTACAAGGAATTAATGGATGGATCGGTCTGGCTTTTGGTTTTGGACAGATCGATTAATGCGAAGCCATCGATCGCTGTCGAGTGGCCCCGCACTGATTCATGATTCAGCGTCTGCGAAGTGAAGGGCACAGTGGAACTGATGATGAATGGTTAACCATCGCTATCAAAAGGAAAAGCTTTTAACTTTATGATTTCAAAGACTGACTCACAAATTTATCATTTTATAGGAGTTAAAGTGTAATTTTATCATATATTATCTTATAATTTTATAGGATATATTATGTCTTTAGTGCCTAAACTATCAGTTTTAGTCCGTTTTAGTACCTAAACTTTCATTTTTTAAAACCATATCTAATGATTAGTTTTCATTTCATTTTAGTACCCGCCGTAAAAAACTTAACGTGTTTAGTACCTAAAATTATCAATTTTGGTTTGTTTTAGTACTTAAACTTTCATTTTTTTTTTTCAAATCTTAACGTTAAATTCTAAAATGAAACAAAAACTAAAGTTTTTAATGGCTGCTATTAAAATGAAACAAAAGCTAAAGTTTAGGTATGGTTTTGAAAAAAAATGAAAGTTTAGGTATGATTTTGAAAAAAATGAAAGTTTAAGTATTAAAACAGACCAAAACTGATAGTTTAAGTACTAAACTCATGATTTACCCCATAATTTTATAATACATAAAGGGACTTAGACACGATTTCACCGCATCAAGTTTGATCAAATATATCGAGACCTAGTGTTTAGCAAATATTTAAATCGAACCAAACGATATCAGTAGTTAAGGAGATGATTGTTATCTCTAGCGGTCTCAATTTCGAGCATAGCGTCTGTAGGGGTAGTTGAGCTTTCATTGTCAAATAACGCAGTCTTCCGAACATAGAACTACCTTGAAAAACATATTGGAAACAACATGTTGGAAAGATCAATTGTATGACAGATATATGACTATATTAATATTTGATATGAATTAATCGATTAATAAATCAAATATCAATAATAAAAAGTAGGATAAATTACACGCTTACTCACTAAACTTTACCCTATCTTATATTTCACTCACCGTACTTTCAATTTTTTCAATTTGGTCACTGAACTTTGGACATTGAACTTTTTTATCACTCGACCGTTAAATTTCTAACGGCGTTATGACGTTGCTAAATTGAAATTGAAAAAAAATTAAAAGTATAGTGAGTAAAATAGGAGAGAGGGTAAAGTTTAGTAAGTAAACGTGTGGTATGTTTTATTATTATAATAAGTCACGTAAGCACCTCGTTATTGAGTCAACGGTCGAGTGATCAAAAAATTTTAATGTCTAAAGTTCAGTGAGCAAATTGAAAAAAAATTAAAAGTACAGTGAGTGAAATAGAAGAGAAGGTGAAATTCAGTGAATAAGCGTGTAATTTACCCTAAAAAGTAAATCAATATCCTGTGCAAAAGTCAAATTGCACTTTAAATTGAGGTCCACTTCTTCCTTTAAATATATAATCATTTTGGGAAAATTTACTGGTTTCTTAAATTTGCTAGTGATGTGAACAAATTGACATACAAAATATAAACTAGTATTGAATATTAGGGGTGTTCAAAAATACCCGACTCTATGACCTGAACTAAAAAACTAGGTATTTTTCTATAAAAAAAATACTCAACACGACATTTTTCAGGTCGGACCCGGATCAAAAAATTTCATTTTTCCAAGTACCTTGTTATAATTATTTTTTATATAATATAATATTACATATTCAATTATTAATAATTTTATATATTAAATTAAACTAATAAAATTTAAAAAAAAGCCACCCACCCAATAATTGTATGTTTAGTAATTAATATAAGTTTTTGATAATATAAGTTTTATTTTTAATTTTTTTTTAATAATTTAAAAAAAATTAAAAACCCAGGTACCAGATTACCCGAATTACGGGTACCCGCAATATCTGGGTCGGGACACAGGCCGAAAAATCTAAAACCTGACCGGGTACCCGGATTTGAACACCCCTATTGAATATAACTAATATTTATTAAACATGTGTATTGGGTCTAATGGTATACTTTTTAATTAACAAGTATACTTTATTAAATATATAAATAGAAAATGTAATAAAATTACAGTCAAGTGGTATTTCTAGAAATTTGTTATGTTAATAAACTTGTAGAAAAAAATTAAAATTATTTATAATTTCAATTTTTTTTTTATTTTTTCTGTAAATTTTGTGTGACATAATCATAACGTGTGATGCGATAATAATTTACTTGAACGTCAAAAGATACTAACAAAATTGACTTGCTCCAACGTCCTTATAAAGCTAACTCTTTTTCCTATTTAATGTTATTGTTTAACAAGTTAATGTTGAACTAATTCCATTTAAGCAATTCATGCATGTTTGAAAGCCAAATTTGTTCCCATTGAGCATGTTTCAATATACTTAAACGTTGTGGTGTTGCACGTTTTCATAGTCACTTTCTTACGGGTCAAAACACCTCTTCCATGCCCCAAGCAACATATTATGGTTGGGCTGATGAATGAATAGAGAGAGTGTTGAGGACGGTTATATCTTCTGAAAATTTCGAATTCTTGTATAGTTTAAATATTTACTTGATCTTTTTATTGATAATATGATTTCACGTCTCTAAAATTTTATATCCTTTAATTTTTTAGGATAAATTATACAAATGATCTCTCGACTATAGGGTATTACTTTATTAAGTCCCTCGAGTATTAGAAGTTATAAAATGGTCCTTCGACTATATAGTGTTGTTTTGTTGAGTCCCTCGACTATTAAATGTTACAAAATGGTCATCCGACTATTCATTATGTTCCAAACTAGAAATGGACGGTATTTTTGAGCTGAACGTTAACCTATTGATGGTAATATGATAACAAATGATCTTAGAATCTCAAATAACTAACATATCACAGTCATCATGCTGACATCCAGCTTAAACAACCACCAAGTTTTTTGATGAAAAAGTACAAGTTTGGAACTTAATGAATAGTTGGGTGACCATTTTATAACTTTAATAGTCAAGGGACTCAAAAAGTAACATTATATAGTTATAGGACCATTTTTGTAACTTTTAATAGTCAAATAACTTGATAAAGCAATACCTTATAGTCAAGGGATCATTTATGTATCACCCAAAATTTTAATATATCTTCTTAAAATCCAGATATAAAATTCTACATCCATCCATGGTTGCACCAGGGATGGATCGAGAGAGGGATGGTCGTATCTTTTGAAAATTTTAAATTTTCATATATTTTAAGTATTTTCTTTATATTTTATATGGATAACCTAATTTCTTGTTCCTTAAGTTTTTTAATAAAACTTTCTTCAAGTTCACATACATATAAATTATATGTTAATCTAGAGTTGAACCATCAATTTTAAAGTAACAATGGACAAAGGGGTGAAGCCCAATAAAAGAGCATTTAATTGATCAATTAAAGTGGAAAAAAAGAAAATTTGAATGAATGTATAAATATATTTTCTTTTTTGTAACCATGTTTAAGTTATTGATGATTGGAACCATGTTTTATTCTTTTTGTAAAACACAAAATCTCCATTAGAGGTGGGATTACAATGATTCCATGGTTGGTTTGTAATTATAAGGGGATAAATTATAAATTTCATCACCGAATTTTACTCACTCTTCTATTTTACTCATTGAACTTTAAAAGTTTTCAATTTCCTCACTGAACGTATTACATTGGGTTTTTTGGTCATTGAACTTTATTCTCTCTCCTATTCTAGTCACCCCGTTGTTAAATAGTTAACGGTGTTACAGACGATGTGGTTTAGAAAACAAAATTTTCACCAAAATGACATCGTTTTGCTTATATATAATAGCATGTTTTAACGTTGTTAGCTATTTAATGGCCGACTGACCAAAAAACTTAATGTATTAAGTTCAATGAGAAAATTAAAAAGATTTAAAGTAAATGAGTGAAAAGGAGACAGATTTGTAATTTACCCATGTAAGGGAACATAAGAAAGTTCAGTTTGTTTTAAGGTTAGGTCATATGCCCAAAGAATCCGTAAATGGTCAGGTGAATTATCAGACATCTCTCTGCTTTCCACTGTAATCGACACGTGTCACTGCATTTATTGGTTAATGTTCCATCTCCTCATCTCCACCGTTAGATCACCGATCCAACTGCTGACATTATGAGACTGTACGAAATTTGTTACCTTCACTTGCTTGTTAAGTACTATTAGTTTTGAAATTAGGCAAACTTTTCAAATATTTTGAGTTAAATTGCTTTATAGGTCCCTTTTAGTTTTATAATTAGGCAAATTAAACCATGACTTGTCATTTACTCGGTTTAAATATATATTAAACCCATATTAATTTTAAAATTAAACAAATTAGAACATACATCCTAATTTTTAAATTTAAAAATAATTATTCAATAAGTACATTATGACCGTCATTTTACGGCTAAACTCTCGAGATAACGTTCTCGAATAAATTAATTCACGAGATAATGCACTCCTCAGATTAATTGCTCAAATAGGGTGAAATCTACAGTGTTGCTCGTAGGTCGCCATGCCATCCGGGCGACCTACTAGGTCGCCATGTCTTCCCGGCGAGCTATGAGAGAGATTGCATGTGTCATGCACGTTCCAACACGTTGGGCATCCGAAGCCATCCGACCGAGGGCATCCGACCGAGGGCATCCGAGCGAGCTATGCGAGGGCATCCGAGGGCAAGAGGAATCACGCGAGGAGCAGGAGGAGTGCATGGCGACCTACAAGGTCGCCCGGAGTGCATGGCGACCTATGCTGGGAAGCTGCCACGCCGTAGGTCGCCCAGAAGGCATGGCGACCTACGGCCAATTCGCCCTATTTGAGCAATTAATCTTGGGAGTACGTTATATCGTTAAATAAACAATTCGAGAACATTATCTCGAAAATTTTGCCGTCATTTTACTACTATTTATTTTTGTCCCGTAAAATTTTATCTTCACTTCGCCCTTGAATGCGTTACACCTTTCATTAGTGCGCTACAAAGTTCACTTCAGATTATAAGCAATACTTTCTCGATAAATATCGGGCTCAATGATAAGTACATCGTAGTCGGACAGAGAACGTAGGCTCGAATTAGTCTTCGATGACCATAAAACAAAACTAAAGATGCATTATATATTTTGCAATCAAGTTCTTAGTTAAGAATATCAAAAAGACCAAGAGAATAAATGGAGAAGAGGGGGGCCATTAAAGACCCTCACCAAGAAGAACCAAAAAACTAGTGAACCCCATTTCTTTCGGTTTTGAACCTATCAAAAGGGAAGGTTTCCTTGGTTTTAGGGTTAGGGTTTTGGTTTGATTCTGAGAAGGAGAAATTACTAAAACAAAAAAATGGGGAGAGGTAGGGTTGAGCTGAAGAGGATTGAGAACAAGATCAACAGGCAAGTGACTTTTGCAAAGAGAAGAAACGGTTTATTGAAGAAAGCTTACGAGCTTTCAGTTCTATGTGATGCTGAAGTTGCTCTCATCATCTTCTCCAATAGAGGAAAGTTGTACGAATTTTGCAGTAGCTCAAGGTATACATAGCTACATACATGCATATACATACATATATCATCACCACCACCATCATCAAAACAACTAACCCCTCTTTTTTGCAGCTGCTCTCATCATATTTGTTATGTTTTCTTGCTTTGTTGGAATGTTTATAAAGTGTTCTTTCTTCATGTAGATCTGAGAAATGTAGGGTTAACAATTTTTCTTCTGAATTTGAAGAATACCCCAAAGATCTGCTCATATGTTTTCAGCTCTTTGTTAAGCTTCCTAGGGTTTTAATTTATTTTTAAAAAAAATATAGTTTTTAATGTTTGTTTTGATTGTGAAAAGTTGGGGGGGGGGGGAAAGAAACATGTCTGAAAATCAAACCAGACAAAAACCCAATGGATCTTTGTAATAAAAAAGATCCCCATGTTTTCTTGTGATACAATTGAGCTTCTCCAGAGATGTCATTGATCCAATCAGAGCAGGGAAGACAAACAAGAAATTTCAGTACAGTCTCGGATTCCCAAACCTTTTCCTGTTTTTCGTCGGAGGATTTATGTCTTATTCTCTCCCCCGATCAGTTTAAACGATGTATAAACGGAGAGATCTCTTCATGAATGCCTCTGGGTTTTCTAGGGTTTTGATTTTCCTTTTTCACAAAAGCTGATTTTAGTTGTTGTCATTATGCTTCATTAATTGACTTGCATATCCTTAATTTTAACTACATAACTGTCATTACACGACACTATAACGAATGTTGTTTTGTATTTTTTTAGATCATGTTAATATTCATTACGTCTATAATTATAATAAACACGATACCATTGAAGCATTATTTACGATTATGATTGTTTGAGAACAAATATTATCGTTATATTTTATCAATAAACTTGTATATCCTTAATCTTAACCAAAATTTATCTAATTAATAATGTTGTAGTATGCTCAAAACATTGGAGAGGTACCAGAAATGCAACTATGAAGCTCCCGAGCCAAATATATCATCTAGGGAGGCTGCACTGGTAACATCTAACCCTCTACTCCGAGTTATATAAACATTCATTTTAATCACTGAATCTCAGTAAATCGTGATAACAAGAGTTACTCATTATTTAATCGAGGGTAAACTACACTAATAATTTCTGAACTTTCATCCGAGACTTGGATGCCCTACAAATCAAACAATACAAGTTGTTCATGATAACTTTACAGGAATTAAGCAGTCGGCAAGAATATCTGAAGCTTAAAGCACGTTATGATGCCCTACAAAGGTCGCAAAGGTGAGTTAGAAAACAACCAAAATGGTCCAATGATGTTAATGTATATATCTAATAATCAAAATTTTATAATATTTTTATGTATTCATAGAATCCCTGAGAATCATATTATTATTATAAATATATTTCAATATACATTCATATATATATTTTTTTATTTATTAGGAATTTACTGGGAGAGGATTTGGGTCCTTTGAACAGCAAAGAGCTTGAGTCGCTTGAAAAACAGCTTGATTCATCACTGAAGCTAATCAGATCAACTCGGGTACTTTTACATATTTCTCCAGATCGAATAAAATTATAAAATTTTCAAGTAAATCAGTGAAAATTTTCAGTCTGCTTGCAAATTTTTCATGTAAATTACAGTAAAATATTTTTTCATGTGATTAAATATTGTGTTGTTGTAGACCCAATACATGCTTGATCAGCTCACTGATCTCCAAAGAAAGGTATGCCATTAACTATCTTAATTAATTAATTACAAGATTGATTCTTTAAATACCATGATCTTTAATGCAGGAACATCTTCTTAATGAAGCCAATAATACCCTAAAACAAAGGGTAAGCTTTCTCTCTTATTAACTAAATTCAGTCCGAAAAAATTTAGAATAAAAAATAAAAATAAAAATATTCTTTTTATTATCGAATCAAAATCAAACTAAATTGAATGAAAATCGAAATCGAATTACGGTTCGGATCGGTTTAATACAGTTAGTGGAAGGGTACCAAGTAAATCCACTACAGCTGAATCCAAATGCAACGGAAGATGCTGGCTATGGCCGTCAACCGGTTCACCATCATCCTTATCATGGTGATGCCTTCTTCCATCCACTGGATTGTGAACCGACTTTACAAATCGGGTACGTAAATTTCGATTCGATTTTCAATTTTCTAAAGAAGCACGGTAATTCGAATCGATCTCCGATTTTCTCGATTTTTTTGTCCGATTGCAGATACCAGCATGATCCGATGTCGGTCGTCACCGCGGCAGGTCCGAGTGCGAACAACTACATGACCGGTTGGTTAGCATAGTATTTATATACGGAGGAGGAGAAACCATGGGAATGGATTTCTTGGTAAGAAACTAGTTTATGTTGTTCCATGAAAAACAAATACGCATAATGTCATGGATTTATTATTATTGTTATTATTATAAGCTATGAGAAACTCAGTGTGAGCTATACAATGCATCTTTGTAAGAAGATTACTTCCAACTTTTCTTTGAGATTAGTCTTTAATTAGTTCGAATTTTTATTGATACGAGGAGGAGATAATTGTATCTCGCTCTTCTGCTAAAGCTGAATATCGAGTCACAACATCATCAATGGATAAACATGATATGACTGAAATCTCTCATACTTTTTGGTCCATTGGTATCTCATACATCCTCTAATCATATCATGTTTGTCTATTGAAAGAGGATGTACGTGATATTGACGGCGTATGAGATCACTCACTCATACATAAGAATCGAAGTTAGCCGATCAAACTTTTTTTTTAAAAGAAAATGAAAATTCATTTTTTTTAAGTTAAAGTAACATGTATCACTCATCTATTGGTTAATTTATACCATGCATGTCAGCATTCTATGATAGCAATAGGAGATACTATGACAAGAAAGTTGAGTGGCCAAAATGGATAGTAAAAATTCTTAAATGGACACAATGTTTGATATAGTTGAGTGGCCAAAGACCCAAAGTGGTTTCTTACAAACAAAAACTTTGGAATTTGATTTTAGGGATAAAACAAATTTTAGTCCCCAAATTTATTTTGGGAAAATTACATATATAGTCACTTAACTATCACTTTGGTTCTATTTTTCTTTTCAAAATTATATCTAACGTTATATTTTAGTCACCTACTATTAAAAAAATAAACAAAATCATTGACCCAATCTAACGAATTGAACCTAACCGAATACAATCTAAACCCAAACTAATTCAACCCGAAATAATCCAATCCAAACATAATCTGAACGATCCAATTGTGACACACAAAAACGTTGGAAACTAGAAGGTTGCATTTAATGGCAAAGTTGTACTATTAGTTATAATTGATCTAGACGTGGACCAAGAAAAATTGGCATTCCAAGATTCGATTATTTCATCTTCTTCAGATTCTTCATCGTCACTTTCTTCAATCTCATCGCCTGCTTTTGATGCTTTGATCGTCTCCAGCTCCATTGCTACTTGTTTCATGGTCGGCCTTTTCTTTCCGTTAAGATCCAAGCATCTTCTTGCCAGCTTAGCCGTTGCTGTAATCTCTTTCTCCGGATCGTCATTTACTATGGTCGAATCGACGATGTCGAGCAACGAATTCTCCTGCATCGACATCAGAAAGTATGATATCAAGCTCCTCGCCTCGTCCGATTGATCTGACAACACCGGCTTTCGTCCCGTTAAGAGCTCGACAAGAACAACCCCGAAGCTATAGACATCACTCTTCCCCGTAAACTGATTCGATCAAAAATACTCAGAATCCATGTATCCGAACGACCCCTGCACTTGGGTGGTCAAATGAGTCTGTTCGAGCGAAATCGATCTCAATGTTCCGAAGTCCAACACTTTGGCACGGTATTTATAGTCAAGGAGTATGTTGCTAGACTTGATGTCTCGATGGTAAATCGAGACGGAAGCGGCGGAATGCAGATAGAACAGGGCGTCGGTGGTTTCTGTCGCGATCCGTAGGCGCATGTCCCATGTCAAAGGGAATTCTTCGGTTTGGTAATGGATCAGATCGTAAAGTGTGCCGTTTTGGATGGAAATACTATGCCAAGCCAATTGTCAAATGCCAATGGGTTTACATTGCAACGAAAAGCGATAAGAAGAGGAAGATTTTTCAGCTTCACAAGTCCTGCAGGAAGCTCATTGATTTGAGTGTCCTTCATAAGTAGAGACTGCAAATTGTAAAGCTTGCCGATGGAATTCGGAAGCTCTTTCACTTGAGTTCTTGTTAGGCTAAGGTATCTCAAATTGAATAAATTCATCAATTCATCTGGGGGTTCCTTGATCGGAGTGTCTTCCAAATCCAACACTCTCATCAATTTAAAACCAGAGGGCAGTTTGTTGAAGGAGGATTTAGAGGTTCCATCCACAGCAAAAACAAATAATGCACGAACCCGAGATAGTGCTGTCTCACTTGCAGCTTTCAACTCATTCCCCTTTGCTTCAATTGACCAACGACGGGTTCCATCGTCTTTCACTTCTTCTTTACCATCAGATTTGGCAACAAGCTTTACAGATTTTGATATGGAAACAGCAAATTCCCGCAAAATGTCATGCATCTCCAATGCTCTGGCTTCCCCGATCCATTCCTGCTGCAAATCAACTCGGATAGGTATCTCTCCGCAACAACTTACACTTAGCTCCCGATTTAGGTTGTTATAAACTCCATCCCATTCGGCAATCGAGCTCTTGGAAGCCATCAAACCGCCCAAGGTCACAATGGCTAATGGCAAGCCTTGACATTTTGCAACCAGCTTTCTTGCTGAAGGTTCAAGATATGGTGGGCAGTGTCCACCTTTGCCAACAAAAGCTTTCTTCCAAAAAAGGGCTATACTATCATCAAACGGCAAGTGTTTAAGGGGAAAGATATGCTTTACAACTCCAAATTCGAAGGAAGCAACGTCCTCCTTCAGCATAGTGAGCAAGATTCGACTTCCCTTCGTATTGGCACGAAGTGCTATGCTGATATCTTGCCACAAATTGGTGCTCCAAACATCATCGATCACAATAAGATATCTCCTTGGCTGCAAGAAGTTCACAAGTTCCTCCAGCAGTTCTAGATAACTCATGAAGTCGAGGTTGATCACTGGATCCATTTTTTCTTTCGACTTGTTGTAGAGCCCTTTGAGGATGGACTTCAATAGGTCTGTGACAACATATTGTTGTGAGACAGTGACCCAGGCACAACAATCGAAATGTTGCTTCACAACTTGTTTGTTGAAGGTGTTGGCGACCAGAGTTGTTTTACCTAGACCGCCCATCCCGACCACAAAAATCACGGTTTAGTATTTAAACATGAAAGTCTTTTATTTAAACATGTTTACTATTTAAAATGTCGGTTTTAATTTGTTTCAATATCTAATTTTTTAATTTTTTTAAAATTCATACTCAATATCTAGCTTTTATTTCATTTTACGACCCTAACGTAAAAAACTTAACGCATTTAATACGTAAACTATTAATTTTGATTTATTTTAATACCTAAACTTTTAATTTCTTTTTTCAAAACATAACCACAAGGTTTTAACATAGATAATTTACGTGACACAAAAAGTACTTTACATGATTATAAGAGAACCAATGTCACCTAACATGTGATTCTCTTTGGTTGGCAGACTCAACTTACGCGATCTTTTAGGACTAGACGGCCACGATTGGTCTTTAGTAAGAAACATGAAAGCCATTTATTTATGGGTAAACTACAAGTTTAGTATTTAAGCTATAAGTTTTAGTTAATTTTAGTACATAAACTTTTAATTTTTTTTTAAATTATACTCAACATTTGGTTTTTATTAGTCAACTCATAGGGTCTTTTACAACTGGACGGCCACGATTGGTCTTTAATAAGAAACATGGAAGTCAACTATTTATAAGTAAACTACGCGTTTAGTATTTAAGCTATCAGTTTTAGTTAATTTCAGTACCTAAATTTTTTTTTTCAAAATCATACCTAATATTTAGTTTTTATTTCATTTTAGTACCCTACCGTTAAAAACTTAATGTGTTTGGTACCTAAACTATCAATTTTGGTCCGTTTTAATATATAAACTTTAAATTTTTTTCAAAACTTAACGATAAGTTTTTAGCTTATATAATTTATATGACACAAAAATACTTTACATGCTTATAAGAGAGAACCAGTGCTACCTAATAAGTGATTTGCTTTGGTTCATGGAACGGGTACGAAATCGCAATTCATTAATTTTATTGTTTGCGGTTCATTAGGGTAGACTTCTTTATAACAAATATTGATTCGATGATAAAGTTTTTAATAATGTCTATATGTTAAACAATGAAAATGTAATATTTTTTAATAATTATTTAGTTATTATAAAATTGAAAGACTAAGTTTATAATTAAACCGATTGCCTTGAACAATAAAAACACAATAATAAAGAATATTTGAGATTTCAATTTTATTTTCTCTTTTTCTTCCCACTCTTTCACTGTTCTCCATCTTCCTTTCTTTTCCTTACGCCGATCTATCTTCCTTTATTTTTCTTTATCAAAGTGCCTATCAAGAGAATCTGCCGACTCCACCGGCAATGACTAGCAAGATCAACCCTTACACCGTCTTCATTACCGTCCCTTCCACCCCTTCTCCTACTGAACTCTTACCCCTATCTTTGTTTCCTTTGTATTTGTTGTGATGAATTTTTGTTTTCTTTGCTTTTTCTGTGATGGGTTTATGTTTTCTTTGATTTGCTGTGGTGGATAATCTTTTGGCTTCTTGTGATTTTTGGTACTCTAATTTCGTCGTTCCGATACTCGAACAAACCGTGAATTGGAACGAGATTCGAACGATCCTAGGAATAACTCTTCAAGTCCCCCCTTTGCCTTGCGGCTCAAGAGTGAAGATTTCAAAGGAGCGCCGGCAACACCAAAACGCAGAACTCAGCCCTTAATCTAGGAGTGCCGTCATCATCGATGGATAATGAAACATCCATGGAGCAGCGTAACAGAAGAAAAGAAAAAGAAACATGCAGCACATCGACTGTTTCAGAAACATCTACTTCAACCGAACCACAGTTCCCGACATTTTCTCAAGGAGGAAGCCAATATTTTGTCTCATACCGGTGCGTGGCTAGGACAGGCAGAGAGATCTTAATCGATGGGTTGATGTCATAGAAGAGCGGATATATACGTACACACATTTATCTTCAAAATATGACTAGAATGGTATGAGACACCGTATGCTATTTGCATACTAATTTCTGATTAACATAATGAATACCGTATACGAAATCAAATACAAACTGACATCATGTCTTACCGAAGGTGTTACATACATATTTCAACGATGATTATCTGTGCCTATATGATGGTGCCCTTTTGGTTAATCAAAGAACATAAGCTAACTACTTGAGAAACTAAAAAGAAAATCGAGAAGGGCAATCACATCCCTACATGATCGCATCTTCTACAGAGAAAAAGGAAAGAAGATTAAAGAATGAAGATCGTATTACAAGAAGTACTTCATCCGGTTATCTCTCCTCATAGCATTGTATACAGCTTGAACCTATACGACACAATGAGTTCGATTAGAGTACGTACAATCCTCGGTCAATTGAAGCAACTTTTTATTTTGTATCTTTCGCTCTTTAAGACGGAAAATTAATGTATAACAATGAAAAATGTGATTGCATGAGCGCACATATTAGGCAAATGCCATGATGTTTTTGCATGTATGCTAATTGGGTGCGTGTGAGAGATAGAGAGAGCAGAGGGAGTGGAGACCTGTTCACTAGAAACGACCCGAACAGGACCGATGTTGACAGATACATATTTCCCCCTAGATGAAACCTTCTGCCTCACCCGACCCTGTTATGAAACCTTGTCAAATGTAGTTTATATATATATACACACACAGAGCACACACATATATTGTATACTTGCTTGCATGGATGAATTAATACAACTTCTTGATAAAATAAAGAAAAATGGAAATAACGGTTCGTGTTTCAACAGTGTCTACAAGCAAAAGTATAACCAATTTCAGCTGAAGGCAAGACTTCTTTGCGAAGACATTCCAATACAAGATATATCTCCAGTCATTATCTAAATCAAAACTATTTTCCCCCCCTGAAAGAAAATTGCTTGAGATCATAGCACAAATGATAAATCATTTGCCATTTATTCAAATACCTCAAAGAGACCCACAACAGAATCTTTCACATTTATGTTGGTAGTTACTCTGTAGCACACACAATGTTTCGCGCGAGTTGATACTCACTCACTTCAATGGTAGCAGCAGTTTTGATTTTACCCGTAATGTGGACTCTAAAACTTCCATTTAACCCTTCAATTTCTATTTCTATCAAAATTTCCAAATTATTTCACAGTCAAAATCTGCCTGTTAGGTAGTACTTAGCTGATACAATGCACGCTCCCGGGTACCAATTTATTCGGTAAGCAATTATTAGTTCTATAGAATCCAGTAATGTTCAATACAAGAGTGCAATACATGTGCATTTCACCAAAGTCTTTCTAGTTGAGATCTTGCCTCCGGGGCATACTCCTAACAAAGTGGTTTTTATATAAACTAACACCAAGTCCGGAAGTTCTCTACACAGATATATTTGAGATGTCATGGATTCATCTTCTTCCCAAAAGTAAATGTGTAAACCAAAATGGTAGTTTTCACCATCACAGAAACCTAGGTTCATCTACTTATAAACTAATTACCTCAAATTTGTCCTGTTGTCTATTTAAAACGCATAAATAAACGGGCATAACAATAATTGATTTTCACTGTTACAGATGAGTATAGGTACCTCAGGAATCGGCTGTTGTAACACAGATTCCACAGCAGCAACCATAGCTTGCACAAAATCATCACCTCCGGTTCCTATTGCTATAAATCCTCTAACAGTGGGATATGAGTTGAGCTGACAAGTTTTTTTTAAAAAATCAACTCAGCAACCAGAAGAACATCAGAGCTTTTAGTATCTAAAATATAGCAAGTTGCATGTACTGCAGACAACCTAACAAAGAAATATTCACTCCAGATGAACTCAATCCCTTCAGGTGTAGTTTAAAACCGAACGGAAAAATATAGTCTCAAAGACTCGAACCCCTAGAGAAAATCAGGAATAAGCAGATTATATGACATACCTTCTGATCCAAGGCAAGCCATTCATTAGTTGAATCATCCGCTACTGTACCACCAATAATCACATTTGTTGTTTGGCCAACTCTCCCTTCTTTCTTTGATACCTCTGAAATCGAAAACCAAAAAGCCTGTATAAATAAATCTATGCTTGTGCTTCTACAAGTAAATGGAAAAGAAAAAGGCAACAGTTTAGATACATCGATTTAAGTGGGCATCAAATTTCATTTTATAAACTTATAAGTAAATAAACATGAGACTGAAGACATGTATGCGATAAGATCTATCTAAAGAACCGTGTCATTTACCTTTCAAGGTGTAGTAATTCCTCTTACTCGAACTCGAATGTGTATAACAAATATAAATATACTTCTGTCTAATTTTTTTTAAGTTTTTCTATATTTTTGGAGAAATATATTATTGCTCAAAAGTTTCTAACTTCTTTCAATATTATTGCTCAAAAGTTTCTAACATTGATGCTGCTAAGCAGAATCAGATTAATTAAATTATAGTTCTATTGGCTCTATCCTACTTAAAAGTATTTCAAATGTAATTTTCGTCGGCATTTGGTTCAATTTTCACTAATGAAAGCTACATCGACCTCTTTTCTACATAAGAAAAATCTATTTATCCAGTTTCTAATCAACTAAATAACAATAATTTATCTCGAAAAAAAATGAAAACAACTTGAATCCAAAAGTGGAAGGAACCTGAAATTGCTTTGAGAACGGCTTCCTGAGGCGGCCCTTGGTCAAGTTCATCCTCCTCGGATTTGGAAGACGACGGAGACGGCGTTTCATTTCGAGAGCAACACAGTTTAGGAATCCCGTTCCAAAAGTGAACGCCTCGAGCCCTAACGACCGCCGTCCCGTAAATGCCACCGCTCCCTCTCTTGGAAGCAGCAAAGCTCCTCAACGAAAGGAAATCCCAGCTCCGCCGCAGAGGCCTCCACGCCTCCGTCGTGGAGACGGAACGCAATACCATTCTGCACGCCATCTCGGATCCTTATTCTTTAGCGTGTGTTTTTGTTTTGAATATGATTCCAATTCTCTGGGATTCCATTATATACGAAGGCTCCATCCATTAAATTAACGATATTTTTTCTCTTTCACTGGTTTGTTATGGGCGCGCCCCAAATTTTCGCTCGCCTTCTCACTCACTACTCGAAGTTACGTGATTGGCCTTCTCTTTAACTATGTTAAATGGACCTTACACGTAGGAATGGGTACCGAATCCGACGGATTTTGACTCGATCTATTTTAATCGGATTTTTTTTAAAAAAAATTGGATTCAAGTCGATTTAGGTCTGATTTTTTTAAGTTTATATTCGGGTTGGGTTTGGATTTGCGTTGAAAGATATTCTACCCGACCCAAATAATTGTAATTTGACCATATATATTTAGAGATAATTACAATAATATCCCTCTATATATTATATTCTTTTGATTAAATTTATATTTTTATTGAATAAAAATAATATTTTATAATAAATATACTATTTTGGACCAAATCAAGTTGATTTTGAATTTTACCTAAAAAAATTAGTTTGAGTTTAGGTCGGGTGAGAGGTGTATATTTTTTGTGTCAGATGAAATATTTATAATTTTTATGTCAGGTAAGTGGACCAGAATTATGACTTGCCCCGCCCTATGCCCTTCCCTACTTACGGGTGTAATCGAGTCAAATTGAGCTTAAACTACACCAATAAGCCAAACAAATTTAATTAGGGTAAATTTCAAAATTTCATCACTAAACTTTATTCTCTCTTCTATTTTGCTCACTAAACTTTAAAATTTTTCAATTTCCCCATTAAACTTAATACATTGGATTTTTTGTCACTCCGCCGTTAAATAGTTAACAACGTTAAAACGAATTCGTTTAAAAAAACAAATTTTCACTAAAACGACTTCGTTTTGCACCTATATAAAAGCTCATTTATATCGTCGTTAGTAAGGAAACATACGAGTGACCAAAAAACACAATGTATTAAGTTCAGTGGGAAAATTAAAAAATTTAAAAAACAGTGAGTGAAATATGAGAAATTAAGATTCAGTTACCAAATTTACAATTTACCTTTTAATTTACAGACATTGTAAACCCTAGACCCGATGCATGACTATAAGTACACATTTTATTTAAAAGGAAAATTAAAGGAGATTGTTTATGTTGAGAGAGTACGAATGGGATGTATTCATGATGTAGTGGAATAATCGTCATTATCCAATCTATTGACCGATTAAATAAGGTTAGGTTTTATAAAGGTTTATTTTGTGGACGACTTTCATAATCTAATTTATTTTATACGCAAACGTCATAATTCAAATATCTAACTTTGCTTAAAGAATTCTTGCAGGTGTTCATAGACGAAGAAAATGTTGAAACCACTCCTCTCAAATTCCAGTTCTAGGACGAAAACGATCATTGTTTCCTAAACTATATAAGAACTTCAAGGATCAATATCAATATTAGGCAAGTATTTTAATTATTTCGAGATGATAATTTGATCTTATAATGTTATTTAGAGATGATAATTTGATCATAATCCAATTAATTTTAACCCGATTTGGTAAGGTCACTTTTTAAATAAAATGGATTCATAATCAAGATGAAAATTTTTATCTGATAATATTAGTAATATAATTTTCTTTTATATATTTAAAGATAATTATCATAATACATTTTATAAATATATATTTTAATTAAGTCCATTTTTTTTGGATAAGTAAAATTTTATTATCCAATGAAGAAAGTACACCAAAACATCCCAAAAGGGAGTATAAACACTACTTACAACAACAAAAAATGATCAGTCTATACCCCAAGAATTACATAAGTTAATATTAACATCGTTTGTTCTATTGAAGTTCCTATCGCTAAGGTTGATTCGAACAAGGTCCTTTACAATCTGTAAGACTTGTTCAGGTGTTCTTGATTCTCTTCTAAAAATTCGTCTGTTCCGTTCTTCCCATATCGAGTAAATGAAGGTTGTCCAAGAAAGTTTCAAAATGGTAGTAAGCATAGATCTGCCTTTCTAATGTTGAGATGCACATATTATCCTTGATTCCCAGGAAGTATGCGTGTTGCACATATTTGAAAGATTCATGATTGAACTCCACAGCGAAGTTGCAAAAGAACATTCCACAAACAAGTGATTTCTTGTTTCCTGCAACTCATTACATAATAAACATAAATCATCAGAAATAATCCCCATTTTTGAGAGCCTGTCCCGAGTAGGAAGACGATCCAGCACAGCCATCCAGTAGATAATACTCAGCTTGGGAATGTGGAGTGGGAACCAAATGATTTTGTGCCATGGAACCTTTGCGTTATGGACTCTCATTTCCTCTCATATTTCTCTTGTCTTCGAAATTCCAGAGCTAATAATAGGAAGGGCCCCATTCCTTAGTTTAATAAGTTTCTTGAAACACCAACTAAAGGAAGATCATTCACTGATGACAGAGAAATTACTGTCTTTAATTACATACCAGTGGATCCATGCAACCCACAATGATCCTTCACCGGCAAGTATTTTCTGAATGAGATGAACCATGCAGATTTTATTCCAAGTTTTGATATTTTTAAACCAAGACCGCCTTCAGATTTGGGATTGCATAATTTATCCCATTCGATTCGTGCTCCTGTAGAAGCCTTATCGGATCATTTCCAAAGAAATCTTGAGCAGAGTTGTTCGAGTCTTTTAATAACTTTCAGAGGAAGTATAAATTGCCTGCTCCAGAAATTTACTACACTGTAAAGAACAATTTTTATAAGCTCTAGACGCCCTGCATAACTCAGGAATCTCCCAGACCAGTGTTGAAGCCTCTGTTTGATATTCTCAATAAGAGGAATGCAGTCTTTTTCTGTTAATTTCCTAGTAACAAGGGGAACACCAAGATATCTAACAGGAAGGAAGCCTTGTTTGAAACCTGTAGCAGTTGTAATATTTTCCTAATTTCTAGAAGAGATACCAGCAGCAAACAATTCGGTTTTGCTAATATTAAGCTTTAGGCCAGATAGTTCATAGAAGTGATTAAGGACAATAAAGACTCCAACAATAGATTCGAGATTCCCTTTGCAAAAAATTAAGAGATCATTAGAAAACGATAAGTGAGTAATGCCAATTTTTTTGTACTTAGGGTGATATCCAAAAATTCCTCTAGAGGCAACAATGTTAAGTAATTTTGAAAGGATATTCATTGCAAGCACAAATAACATTGGTGATAATGGATCACCTTGCCTTATGCCTCTTTGACCCTTAAAGTAGCCTATCAAACTCCCATTAAACGAAATGGAGTATCTAGCTCCTTTGAAACAAGCTTCAATCCACTTTGTAAAAGTAAGGGGCAACCCTATTGCTATAAGAACATAGGATATAAAATCTCAGTGAAGGGAATCAAAGGATTTTTGAAGGTCTATTTTGAGGGCACACCTTGGAGATATGTTTTTTCTACCATAGCCTTTTACCAATTCTTGAGCGAGGAGAGTATTATCAATTATTGATATTCCTTTCACAAAAGCAGTTTGATTAAGAGATATAATATCAGGTAGCAGTGAAGTCAATCTTTTGACAAGAATTTTTGTGACAGTTTTGTACACCACAGAACAACAGGATATTGGTCTTTAGTCTTTGACTTTACTGGGTTTAGAATTTTAGGAATCAACGCTATAATTATGGAGTTGAAGGCAGGGCTTATATTAGCCTCTTGGAAGAAATATTTAACAGCATTGATAATATCTTCACGTACAACAGTTCGGGATTTTTTGAAAAAAAAGAGAGGTGTAGCCATCTGGGCCTGGAGCTTTGTCATTCCCTTGATTAAATAAAGCCTATTTGATCTCTTCAGCATTGATAGTTTTAGTTAAGTCATAAACAACCTCATTTGGTAAATTAACTTGGAGCAGATTTTTCAGGTAAGAATGATCACAATGGAGAACTCTAGGATCAGGAGTACCAAGTTGAAGTTTGAAAAAATCAATGATTTCAGAAGTCATAGCATCATAGGTCTCTAGCCTTTTCCCTTCATTATTGAGCAGAACTCTTATGGTATCTCTTTTATTTTTTGAGGCAATGGCAGTATGAATTTTTTTGAGCATTTATCCCCTTCTTTAGTCCACTAGATTTTTGCTTTCTACTTAAGAAACATTTACTCAATGTCCTCTAAAGCATTCAACTCATTTTGAACAATCAATTCCTTGTCCATAGAGTTGGCGCCTTTAAGAGTTTCAATCTGAATTTGTTCCAACTCAGCCTTCTTTTGTTTTACCCCAACAGAAATATTATTGTAGCAGTCTTTATTTAATTTTTGTAGACAAGGTTTGAGGCGTTTAAGCTTAGAGAATAATTTTTATATAGGGTTACCATGGGAGGGTTGTTTCCAAGACTGGTAGACAATTTCCAGAAAGTTTGAATGGCTAGACCATAAGTTGAAAAACTTGAAAGGCTTAGGTCTGTTGATTTGAATGTCTTTGTTAATCCAAGCAAGCCCCATATAGTGATCAGAAGGCCCAGGGGCAGTGAATTCAACAAAAGAATTCTTAAAAGTGATAGCCCAATGAGAGTTTATGAGAACTCTATCGAGTTTCCTTGCAAGGTACGTGTCTTTTTGTTTGTTGCTCCAAGTGAAGGTTGGGCCAAAAAAAGGATGATCTTGTAAGAAAATATCTTAAATCACATTTTGAAACTCAATCATATAAGGAGAAAAATAAGGCCCTAGGAGATCAGAATCAGAGCTTTCATTAGAGCTTAGAAAGATATTGAAATCCCCTCCTAAGATCCAAGGAAGAGATCCAAACATAGGATCAAGGTCTCTAAGATTTTGCCAAAGAATTCTTCGAGTAATACCACAGTTGCTACCATAGATTGCAATGATAAAGAAAGAATAGTCATTAAAAGAGCATTTAACAGAGATGCTTTGAGCAGAAGAGTGACAAAAGGATAAATCAATTCATTTCTTCCAAATGAGTCATATTCTTCCATTGGATGCAAAGTCATAGTTGGTGAAGGCGTTTCAGCTCAAAAAGATAGAATTTAGAATTTGTCCAGAGTTTTCAACTTTAACACGAGTTTCTAACAGGCATAAGATATCAACATTATAAAGATTTGCTCT